AAGAGTGTCCCTCTATGTGTCCCCCTATGGACAACAAAGTCAGGCCCCCACCATCGGCCTGCCACTCTACAAGTGCAGCTGCCAAACCTCTCAGACCTCCCACCAAGAAAGAAACCTCTATTGAAGGGGCTTCATTGCCCCACTGGGCCCTAGGGGTGGGAGCTGTGCCCACAGGGAAAGCCTTTCTGATCCAGAAGCAAACAAGCCCCCTGACCAGAGCCGGTGCCACAGCACAGTGGTCCAACCCACCCCACCTGGCCCTGGGTTTCATGAGTGAAGTGCCTACAAGGACAGGAAGCCCTGGTCTCCTGTCTTGTGGTGCTTCTGGACAACATGAGTTACAGAGCCTGGTAATTTCACAAGCTATAACAACATTTAAAATGATTTTCAGTAAGCCAATTTAAAGTCTGCTTAAAAAGAAAGTTCTCATGCATTTGCTTAAAAAGGTTTTTGTTTTTTGTTTTAAAACGAAAATCTAATTCTGAATATCTTGATCTCAGATTCTTTTTGTCTTAACCCAAGCACTCTCTGGGTGATTCAGGCCATGGTGACACCCCAATCACGTCCTTTAAGTGGCAAGGCCCTGTTCATTGGTCCCAGTCACATGATCTGAGTGACATCTGCTCCACTGCAGGCAAATCTAGGTTTTATCTCTTGATGGCACTTAAGAAAATGATCGTGAAGGCATGCTGGAAACTGCTGAGTGCTGCAGAAAAAACCATCACAGAACCATTCCAATCTAAGTCTGCCTCAACCCTGTCAGGCCCACTGAAGAGCTGCAAGATTCTCTGGGCAGCCACACTGCAAATGCAGGGTTGACTCCCTAAACCTGACTTATCTAGGGAAAACCAGCTAAACGCAGCTCCTGGAGAGGCAGCAGGTCCAGGAGGGGAATGTTCTTGTTGGTGCTGACATGTGGGCAGCACCCACTTGGCATCTGGCTAGGGCCAGCATGCTATGGACATGCCAGGATGGAGAAGAGCCAAGGGCACTTAAGGCAACAGAGCCCTGGCGAGGAAGGCTTCCTGGAGTACAGGGCAGCAGGGCTGAGGCTGAAGGGAGAGGCACAGCCTGTAGAGCAATAAGAAGAGATGAGGGCAAGGTGGGCAGAGGGCAGCACAGGCACATTTCTGGAACCAGAGAGGACTTTAGGATGGTGGAGGGAGGACACGTGACCAGAGAGGGGGCTGCAGGACCGAGAGGGCACATTCTATTGATGCTAAGGCTTCTTGGCTCCTTGTAGGAGGCAGTCTTTGGAAGGCAATATCACAGATGCTGGGAATCCACCAGGGGCTCCAGGGGGGTGATGCCACAGAGAGGATATGGCAGAGCCTAGGACCCCTAAAGGTGGTCCAGAAGCCACATTTAGGTTCCGAATGCCTTTACTGGTTCCAAACGAAGCCTATATGATTTCAAAGGCATTTCCAGGGCAACCCAGGCAAGACCATGACTGGTCTTCCGTATCCTTCGGGCACATCGGAAGAAGAAGGAGAGACGTTTTTGCCCTTGGGAGCACCAATCCAACCCTATGAGGTGATGCGGGAGTGCTGAGACACTAACCAAAGTGGCCCTTGGCAACAGTTACCTGCCTGCTGCCCATGGGCAAACACATCTCTTTGAGGCCACTCCTTCCTGGGGGCCTTACGAGCTCTCCTGGCTGATGCCAGCAGGTGTGGCAGCGCCTTTGGCAGACACAGGACAAAACAGTAACCTGCCAATGCTTTGCTCACCCACCTGTTCTTCTCTTCCAAGTCAGGGAGTACTAAGAGCTGCTGGAAGCTCTAAAGCATATTCCAGGAAGGCACTGAAAACCTGTCCATCTCTATTGGTCACCTCGACACATGCCCAGCTCAGAATGACCCAGGATGACCCATGCGACGAAAGATGCAGCTTATTATCTCTCACTTCCCGCACAAGACTCACCTCTGCTAGGCCTCAAAACACCACAGACACTGGCACAAGGAGCTGGGAGAGGCTTGGTGGAGAGGTTCTAGAAGTGCCCCTCATAGCAGAAAGGCATCTGTCCAAGGCCTGCAATGTGCTTAGCCCTGGGACCAGAGAGGACAAAAAAACGGTCCTCATCTGAGGCCCAGACTCCAAAGGGCCCCATCAGGGCAACTTTCGGAGGCAGGGCCACCCTTCCTTAGTTCACCAGTCAGGGGCCGCTCCGACACCCACAGGGACTAGGCCCTGCTGGAAGGAAAGCGAGGGTGACATCTGAGACTCATGAAACCAGGCACTACCAGTCCCAGGCACCCTACAGAGGCCGGGCACTGCCACTGTCCCGTGAGAGGTGCTGGGTCCCTACACAGATGGGAGAATTGCACCCCGACTTCTATAGACTAGGGGATCACTTGGCAGGTGAACCTCAGTGCAGATGGCTCGTAAACGCACAGAACAAAGATTACCATGGCCTCTCGAGAAAACTAATTGAAAAAGCAATCTACCTGGTGCCTGGAACAGAAATAAAAAGAGAGGAGGGGGAGGAGAACAACTTGTATGGCAACGTTCTGTCACCTGCTTGGTGGCACAGAAGGATCCCAGAGTGGAAGGCTGAGCAAGGGCCTCCTAAGGACCCTGGAAACCCCTTCACCAGGGCTGCGGCTTCTGAGCTCAGCAGCTTATAAGCCAGGAGTGGGGGCTGTGGGGAGCTGGCAGCCCACTGCAGCAAGAGGCATCTGGCTGACCAGGCATGGCATTTTCCATTCTTGCAACACACATCCACCCTAGGGTGGGGCACTGAGGCCTCCCTAGTGTAGCACCAGGGGAAAGGAGGGGAGGGTACCAATCAGCTCCACCTGATCCTCCCACTTCTGTCAGTGAGGGTGGCTGGCTTCCTGTTCTGATGGACAAACTCCAGAAAAGGTAGACGAAGAGCCTTTCGCCCTAGTCATCCAAAGGGAAAATCAATCTCAAGAGGAGAGGCTGCAGGAAGTGTCCTGGTTGCAAAGGAGGGCTGAGGCCATATCTACAGGGCAAGCTTGACTCAGGCCTTGTGGCAGCCCCTAAAGCAGGTTATGCGCACTCCCTAAAGGGGCTTTCATGTATGCTAATTCCCTCTGGCAGACAGGACAATGTCCCCAACACCTACTCCCCTAGGCATGGAGGTGTCTACCTGGGCCAATTTCGCTTGGGCAGTGCCCAGTTCTGGGGGCCTACAGCCCTGCTGGGTGAGTGGCTGCAAGTCCTCAAGCCAAGCTAAGTCTAGCACAAAGTGGCTGGACCACGGGAGACAGGGGGTGGAGGAGTGGGTGTTACCCTGGAAAAGCACAATCACACAGAGCAGGCTAAGTGTGGGCAAGAAGCAATGCTTCAAGGGCCCTGGACAGGCGCTTGAACAGGCAGATCTGAAAGCCCCGAGGCCTTTAGAGACTGGGAACATCACCTCTCAGGCTAGGAACTGCTGTCTTGGGGATAAGGTGGGACAACACAAAGACAAGGAAAAGTGGGAAGACATCCCCCGCCCCACCAGCTCTAGGGCCCCAATTTCCTGAGTCTGGGAAATACCACAGATAACGGGCCTGAAGGGCAAGCAGGGAGAGCAATGGACGTTGCTCCGCCTCTGGACTGGCCAGATGCCCAACTTTCATCTCCCAAACTCACCAGAGACCCTGCACCTTCCTGACAAAGTGCAGATAACATGACTACATAGACACACAGGTCCTGACCCAGCCAGTCTGGGAATGCAGTCCTAAGGCAAATATGGAAGGTAAACAAAAAGCTAGCAAGAAGACTTCATTCCTTTCCCTTTCCAGCTCAGACATTCTGGGGAGAAGGCCCCACAGGGCACCAACACCAAGAGGAGCAAAAGAATCCCAATTTTAACCACTGAAAAACCCAGCACTGCCATAGAGTTCTGGATGTGAAGTGCATCCCAGGAGAGTGCCCCACCTCCCCAGGTCAGCCCTGTGCCCACAACCTCTACAATAATCTGTGCACTCTCCCTAAAGGGGAGACACCACGGGAAAGGTGTCTGGCTGCACAGGTACTCCAGACCAGTTCAGCTCCCCCCAACCTGGCTGTTGGCCAGCTTTTGTTCCTTTCAGAGAAAGCTCGCACCTGGTTCTGGCCCGACTCAGAGAGCAGGAAGCTTTGCCTCCTCCCTGCCGCCAGCCTCATGTCACACTCGGGCCTTTGTTCTACCTGCATATTCGGGCAGGCGGAGCCAACCCCTTTAGCTGGGAGCTCCTCCCCAGCCACCTTAAGGCAGGCTGGCTGGCGGGCTGGGGCCCCTACAGGTGCAGGGAAGAGGCACCCTACTCCCCACTTCCTCTTCGGGTATGAGACGCAGGAAAGCGAACACCCCAGGTGCGCTACACACGCACAGGAACCCACTTTCCCACTCGACGACCCATGGCCAGCCTGGGCCTATAGCTAGGGCCAGCCTGGGCCTATAGCTAGGGCCGGCCCAATTTTACACTGGCCCCGTAAGCCGTTGGGCGATGACCGGTGGAAGCCTAGGCATTGCGCAGCCCGGCGGCGATAGGTGGGGAAAATTAGGCAAGGAGCAAGAGGGGGAGAGCGAGATAAAACTGCAGAGTGACAGCGGCCGCAGCAAACTGGGGGCCTCTGGCGCCCGACAAGCGGGAGGAGGTTCAAAAGGGCTGTGGCTAGTGGGGGCCCCCAGAAGGCAGAGAGAAGAACACAGAGGGAGAGGGGGCCCAGTACCGTCCCCCGGGCCATGGCCCAGGGAGCCAACGCAAACTGGGGCCCGCGCTCTGGTCCCGACGATGTAGCCGCTTAGTGGGCGGGCCTCACCTGGGAGTGCGCAGCGCGGCGGGGTCGCGCCGGTCCAGCACGCCGGGCACGCAGTTGGTAAGCTCCGTCCAGTCGGCATGAAGCCCACAGCTCCAACCCGTAGAGAAACGGGAGAATAGCCAAGTCTCGCGGCGGTTGGGCCGATAACAGGTGCACTTCTTCTGGCCGGGCCGGCAATCGCAGGGCACCTCGAGGCGCACGTTCTGCACGAGGTGGCGGCCGAAAGTAGTGCCGCCGGTCTTCTGTATGTGCAGGAAGACAATCACGTCGTCGCCCTTCATGTCGAAACGCAGGGAGCGCTCCAGCTCGCGCACCGGGAAGTAATATTTCTTCTCGTAGTGTGGGTCAGGCGTGGGGAAGAGGTCCAGATCGTCCGGCGGCGCGCGGCCGCCGGGCGCGCCTAGGCTGAGTCCCGGGCCCGCGTACTGGTACAGGATGAGCATGAAGCACGCCGAGCCCGCCACCACCAGCACGAACTTGCTGGCGCGCTCAACCATGATCCTGCCGCCGGCGCGCCGCCGCCA